TGGCCACTGCAGCACCCCCAAGATCATGGGATCAAAATTCCGACGCTTGGAAACTGACTTGTATTTATGACAGTTGCAGTGTCCTATGGTCATACGGTCCCCTTTTGCGACCTTTTGACAAGCAAAGTCAATGGGGAAGCAGGATTCACTTAACAACCGTGTGACTGACTTAACAACTGCAGTGATTCTCTTAACAACTGTGGCAAGAAAGGTTGTAAAATGGGGCGAAACTCACTTAACAATTGTCTCGCTCAGCCACAAAAGTATCTGGGGCTCAATTGTGGTCGTAAGTCAAGGGATTACCTGTAGGAATGCAGCTTACTTTTACCACTGTTGAATTAACATACATTTTGCCCTAGGAAGTGAAAATATAAAATGTAGGATTTTTAATTTGTTTTTTTGCAAATAGTTCCTACAATTGTCAGACAACTAGCCTTGGAGATTATATATATATTCTCCCTCCTTAGCTCTTCAACCTTTCCCTGATAAACACAATCTGATTTTGTGTGTGTGTGTGTGTGTGTGTGTGTGTGTGTGTGTGTGTGTGAGAGAGAGAGAGAGAGAGAGAGAGAGAGAGAGAGAGAGAGAGAGAGATTTGCAAACTTTTTCCTAGGGCTGCAATAAACCCCTGTATGCTGATGCCTTTGAGAGCCAGTCAATTAGGACATGATAAAGGTATGCAAGAGGCACACATAAGAACATTCCATTTTACTCCTGGTGGTCTGTGAATTTTTCACCAAGTCGGTCCTCTAAAACAGGAAGTGGCTTTTGGTGCTTGCTCCAGAGCCAAGGTAAGCAAATCCTTTTCATTAGCTTTTAAATGATCCTATGTATACATGCTGCTTGTATCCTACATGACATTGGGGACTTATTTTGTGCCCTTATTCTGGCATATTTAGATGCAGGATAGTTAAACGTGTCAGCACTAAGTAATAAGGCATAGAGAAGCCTATTGATGCTTATTTTTATTATGTTCCTTGCAGAAACCAGCAGTTAAGAAACATTGGGAGGGGGGAAGGGGGGGGGGAGACAGAAAGAGAGGGAGAGAGTGGCCTAATGGTTAAGGCACCAAGCTAAAAAGCAGGAGTCCATGAGTTCTAATCCCATTTTAGGCATAAAAACCAGCTGGGTGACTTTGGGCCAGTCATTCAGTCTCTCAGCCCAGCTCACCTCACAGGGTGGTTGTTGTTGTTGTGGGGAAAGGAGGAAGAGGAGGAGGAGGAAGAAGGTATTATGAGGACCATTTGCTTGACTTATTTGTAGAAATAATAAAGCTGGGATTAATTTTTTTTAATCGGTAACTTTGGTGTACTATACAGCTTCTTAAAACCACTCAGAATTATCTGCAAAGTGTCACCTAGTCAGTTTGAAGATGGAAATACAGGTAGTCCTTGACTTATGACCACAATCGAGGCCAAAATTTCTGATGCTAACCGGGTTTTGCCCCATTTTACAACTTTTCTTGCCCCATTTATTAAGTGAATCACTGCAGTTGTTAAATTAGTAACACATTTGTTAAGTGAATCGGGTTTCCCCATTGATTTTGCTTGGCAAAAGGTCGCAAAAGGGGATCACGTGACCCCAGGCCACTGCAACCGTCATAAGTACATGCCAGTTGCCAAACATTCAAATTTTGGACATGTAACCATGGGGATGCTGCAATGGTCATCAGTGTGAAAAACAGTCATCAGTCATTTTTTTCAGTGCCATTATAACCTTTGAACGGTCACTAAATGTAGCATTGTAAGTCAAGGACTACCTGTATACATGCTCTCACCACTCATTTCTTCCTTAATTAGAAAACAATGACAGCTTTAAGAATTAAGTATAAAGTTCGTTATAATAAAAAACAATGACCTGCTTTAGGAATTAACCAGCTTTAAAAAGAAGCTACTTTTACACTTTAAAAAGAAGCGAATTTCACAGTTCTGTGACATTCTCCTTTGTGTACACACACACACACACACACACAAAGCAAAAATTGCAGTTTTCACTGCCTGATAACAGAATACATAACCATTTCTCAAGATATCCATCCCTCTACATTTGCTCTGTCTTCCAATCTGCCCCAAAGCAGCTGGCGTGACACACCGAGGAACTTAAAAAACACTTTTTATCAACTGGAAAAATGTTTTCTTTACATTCTGTCTCATCCTTCCTCATTCCCATAAAACCAGACAGAGAAATAGATTAGTCCAGTGTTCCTCTAAGCTGACCGGGGAATTCTGGGAATTGAAGTCCACACATTTTTAAAGCTGCCAAGGTTAAGGAACATTGGGTTAGTCCCCACAATTCCCAACTCCATAATGCCGCTATCGGAGTAGCTGGCTCAGGTCAGACTGGAAAAGTTTCCTTTTCAACAGGAAAGCGGGATGCCTTCCAAGTTCAAAGTTAATTCATGAGTGTTGATCCAAAAATGTATTTTTTTGCAGTTTTCCACACATCCTTTGTTGTGTTTATATATGGTGCTTGATCTCTATGCTAAATATATCCATGAACCCATATTACGTATCACAAGGATTCTGCAAATCCTTATGAAGTAAATACAAATGAGTCTTCCTTTCATGCTAACGTGGAATTATTCACCACACTCCCTAATCAAGACACAAGCTGAAATTCAGAACATCTCATGGTTTTCATTGCTCCAAGCTTTTTCCGCAAAATGAAGCTAAGCCATAAACCAGAAAAGTTGAGAAATCCACAGGTAAACCATCCTTACTCTCCATTGCATATAATACAAAAGAGGATAAGATAGCAAGGTTTCCAGGTTCACGCAACACCCAAATCATGTTCTAAGAAGCCTCCCAAGCCTTCTTTTCCAAGGGATGATAGCTTAGGAATGTTTTTCAAGGGCAAATGCTGCTCCCACAACCCATCCTGCAGGCTGGGCCCTATCTGCAGCCCTGGCTCAGGAGACCTTGCCTCGCCTATGTATAAATAAAGGGAGTTTGGTCGGGTGGTTAAGGCACCAGGCTAGAAAACAGGAGAGTCTGAGTTCGAGTCTTGCGTTAAGCATCAAAGCCAGATGAGTGATTTTGGTCCAATCACTGGGACATGGCGAGTTCTAGTTCCACCTTAGGCATGAAAGCCAGCCAGGTGACTTTGGGCCAATCACCAGGAGATTGTGAGTTCTAGTCGTGTCTTAGGCATGAGATTGGGTCAGTGACTTTGGGCCTCCCTCTCAGCCCAATCCACCTCACTGGGTTATTGTTGTAGGGAAAGTAAGAAGAAAAAGGAGCATTCAATATGCCCAAAGTCTTGAGTTATTTGTAAAAACAACCAAGGCAGGAGGAAAGATAGATAGATAGATAGATAGATAGATAGATAGATAGATAGATAGATAGATAGATAGATA